GCCCTCCGTTGTTGCTGGAGGGCGACTGCCTCCAACTGCCTATTAGCGTCCTTCACGAGCCTCCTCCTCCACAACCACCACGACAGGAGAGGGCCCCCGAACCTACACGTGCCGTTCGCAAGGTGCGAGGCTTGCCACGGTGGCTAGGAGATGTCAACTCCCTCGCCTGGTGTGCAGGAGGTCGTGGATTCGATCCCGACCCTGAAGATGCCTGCTGCTGTATATTTGGAGTTTGCGGTGTCTCTCTCTCTCTCTCTCATCATCATCAATCATCATTACGGTGGATAGGAGATGTTAACTCCCTCGCCTGGTGTACAGGAGGTCGTGGGTTCGACCCCGACCCTGAAGACGCCTGCTGCTGTATATTTGGAGTTTGCGTCTCTCTCTCTCTCTCTCATCATCATCACGGTGGCTAGGAGATGTTAACTCCCTCGCCTGGTGTACAGGAGGTCGTGGGTTCGATCCCGACCCTGAAGACGCCTGCTGCTGTATATCTGTAGTTTGCGGGGTCTCTCTCTCTCTGTCTCCCCATGGTCGCCTGCAGGGGCGGTTTCTTCATTAGGGCGATTGGGCGACGCACCACCAATGTCATTCAACCACAGAGTTACACTAGCCGTTACTGTGCCTCTGGATATAGTCCAATCAGCGTCATGTCACGTTCTGTGGAGTACCGCCTCTTTTTGGGCGATTTCACTCTGGCTGAGAATCGCCCAGAGTGTTCCCATAGACTTACATTCAAAGATGTTTTTTTTCGAACGGCGGGCACTGCAATGCATTCTCTATGGCTTCCGGGAGGGCTCGCACTAACGTGCTTACGTCATCATACGTAAGCACGTTTCAGTCAACAATATTATTTGTCGCCACCTAGTGGAATCTTTAATAAAAGAAACTGAGTGGATTGTAATAATAGTGAGTATAGAAACAAACAGGATGTATTGTAAGAGTCACTATTTTCCATTAATATTAAAGAAGTGAAGTTGCCTTAACATGCTTAAGCTGTTAATTTATCCATTGCATGGGTGGACCTTATCCTTATCAATCATCCAGACATTTGCCCCCCCTGAGAGATTTTGCAGGAGCCGCCACTGGTCGCGTGGATTCTTCTCCGGGTCCTCCGGTTGTCAAACTCCGGCAAGACGCACGCGCGCGTGGCCTCGTCTGTATTCGAACCAGAGGTCGCAACCGGGTACCCGATACCCGGCTATCCCGATCGTCCGGGTACGGGTACCCGTTTGCGACCCTGGTGCGGCCGGGTACGGGTATGGGTAGGCCGTGAGTCACTGGTGAGTAACCGTTTGTCACTCATTTCCCAACGTCTTGTCTCTTCTCACAATTCAAGTTACTAGAATCAACCAACCCGCGCCTGCAACATGGCTTCATCCCAGAGGTCGCAATCGGGTACTCGTACCCTACCCGTACCCCGGCTGGGTACGGGTAGCCGGGTATCGGGTAGGGTACGGGTACCCGTTTGCGACCCTGGTGCGGCCGGGTACGGGTACGGGTAAAGAATCAAAACCCGTTTGCGACCTCTGATTCGAAGTGTCGTCTGATGCTTCGTGGTTTTTGCGACACCAGCAGGCGGCCAACTTCGCGAGCGAGCGAGCAAATACCGGGAACGAAGTTGCGGGGCGCTTCCTGCCAGCCGAGCGTGGAGACGACCTATTCATCTTCTTGGTTCTTTCGGTAAAGTCACGTAGAAGGGAAATAATAAAATAATAAAAATAAAACATAATAAAATAAAATAATTCTCACGACGTTTCGGCTACAACGCAAGCAGCCGTCTTCAGGTGAAGACGGCTGCGTCTTCAGGTGAAGACGGCTGCTTGCATTGTAGCCGAAACGTCGTGAGAATTATTTTATTTTATTATGTTTTATTTTTATTATTTTATTACTTCCCTTCTACGTGACTTTACCGAAAGAACCAAGAAGATGAATCCCTGCAGTCACGAAAGCTTTAAATCGAAAGCTCTATGATGGTTGTACCACTTGAGTATCCCCTCGTCCACGTGCTAGTTGCGTCATCCGACAGAGCATGGCCGTGTGGCTGATGGGATGGGGGGCTGAACGGGCGCGGCGCGGGCTGGTGAAGGTGATGGAGAGAGCTGCTTGTGGCACAGACGAATATGGAGCTGAGTGGACTTGCCGATGACCGCCGGTGTCGATACCGGCCTGTGGAGGAGGCTCGTGAAGGACGCTGCTGCTGCTGCTGCTGGGGCGTTTGGAGGCAGTCGCTCTCCCCTAGCAATAGCGGAGGGCGGAGGAGCGATCTCTCACAACATCATCATCATCCAACACACTGACTTCTGCAGACGTTTTGCACTGCAGGACGCACACATACACACACGCACACCTACCCGCACACACGCACACACACGCCTACACACACATGGCGAGTGGTGTTTGCACTGCAGGCTGACTCCCCTGTCATTACCTCCCGTGACCACTAGTCCCTTCACACTCACAGCTGACTCCCCTGTCATTACCTCCGTGGCCACTAGTCCCTTCACACTCACAACTGCCTCCCCTGTCATTACCTCCCGTGACCACTAGTCCATTCGCACTGCAGGCTCACTCCCCTGTCATTACCTCCCGTGGCCACTAGTGCATTTGCACTGCAGGCTGACTCCCCTGTCATTACCTCCCGTGGCCACTAGTCCCCTCACACCGCAGGGAGACTCTACTGTCATTACACGTGCATACTCTTGATGGGGTTTTACTTTGGATGTGCGCCTGTTGCATAAGTGGGGAGCGGCGGTACAGCGTTTAGCACGCTGCGCTACGAACCCGGCGACCCGCTCACGGACCAACACCCGTGACGTTGATCTGAACCGGTCCTAGGTCGATTCAGCCTCAAATACGTACCTGGTGGTATTTGCAAACACCGCCACTCGGGAGACAAAGGCGGCCGGGCGTGGTGCTGGCCACCCACTCCCCAGGTGCTGCTCGTTAACAGCACTCGCCCCTACAGTCTGATAATTTTTATTTTGACTGCAGAAGGAATCCGATGACCAGTGAAGCTCTTTTTCCACACGTGTCCAGAAGGACACCTGTCTGTGAAGGCTATAAGGGTGACCTTTGTCTTTTGTGTGTGCGTTGAGTGAACGTGTTACTGCGTGGGGGAGCGGTGGTGCAGTGATTAGCGCTGCACTGCGCTCCAGACATAAATCGGATCTGGAGCAGAAAATACCAGAACCCGTCACCCTGGGCGTTCCACCCCTAGAGCGACTCAGCCTTGAATGAGTACCTAGTGCGGTGTATGTCAGACATCAGCATCGGGGAGACAAAGGCGGTCGGGCGTGACGTTTGCCACCGGCCCCCTCGTGTGCCGGTGTTGGCTAACAGCACTTGCCCCGACAGTCTGTTAGGGCTATACGGGGAGCGGTGGCGCAACGGTTAGCACACTGCACAGCTGTACTCCCGAATTATATTCTCGGCCACGGCTAAGGGGCGCCTCGGTGGCTAGGAGATGTTGACTACTTCGCTGGTTTACAGGAGGTCGTGGGTTCGATCCCGATCCTGACGCCTGCTGCTGTATATTTGGAGTTTGTGGTGTCTCTCTCTCATCATCATCACGGTGGCTAGGAGATGTTAACTACCTCGCCTGGTATACAGGAGGTCGTGGGTTCGACCCCGACCCTGACGCCTGCTGCTGTATATTTGGACGTTGTGTGTCTCTCTCTCTCATCATCATCACGGTGGCTAGGAGATGTTAACTACCTCGCCTGGTATACAGGAGGTCGTGAGTTCGACCCCGACCCTGACGCCTGCTGCTGTATATTTGGACGTTGTGTGTCTCTCTCCCCGTGGTCGCGTGGATTATTCTCCGGGTCCTCCGGTTTTCCCCCTCCACATTTGCTACGTGTATATTTCCCCGCATGGTAAGCCATGCGGGGAAATGTATGTCGCCCAGGTCATTTGCGGCCAGTCGATTTCTACGAAAGAGTTACAGAGCTCACAATAGAGGTTTTTTTTGGGTTAGATCGCGTAAATATATAAATGTGCCGTTAAACCCGCCACAGCCAACTAGTGAGGTTTGTTACGTAAACAGAAGGTGGCCAATTCGTCACCAGTACAGCACCACACCGGTTGTGTTTTGGAGAGCCAAGCCACAACATTTACAATCCGAGTTCCGACGTTTCGCCAGTAATTACAACCAGCTTCATCAGGCGACAGCCAGATTTGTGGGCTTTACCTGGGTGAAAGGAAAGCAGCTCTGTTAGCGAGCGCCTATTAATGCCGGCACGGTACACGAGAGGGATGGGTGGGCAACCAACACCACTACGCCCGGCCGCCTTTGTCTCCCCAGTGCTGATGTTTAGACGCACCGCACCGGGTACTCGTTTCAAGTTGAGTCAACCGGTTTCGGATGATTCCCCGTCACTCAAATGTAGTTGGTCGCGAGCAGGGAGTCGAACTCGGGTGGCCGGGTTCGTAGCGCAGTGCGCTGAAGCGCTGCGCCACCGCTCCCCACAACACAAAGACAAAGATCCCCCGTAGAGCCCGAACGGACTGTTGGGGCAAGTGCTGTGAGCGAGTAGCAGCAACTATGAAGGCCGGCACTGTGGCGCACGAGGGGGAGAAGCGGGTTCGTTGGAGCAAGCGCAGCGCAACGCTAACCGCTGCGCCACCGCTCCCCATAAAAAGGAGTAGCTGCGTGCGTGTGTGTCTGGGCGTGCGTGCGTGTGTGTGTGTAGGCGTGTGTGCGTGTGTATAGGCGTGTGTGCGTGTGTGTATAGGCGTGTGTGCGCGTGTGGCTGGGTAGGCGTGCGTGTGTGTGTGTAGGTGTGTGCATGTGCGTGTGTGTAGGCGTGTGTGCGCGTGTGTGTAGGCGTGTGTGCGCGTGTGTGTCTGGGCGTGCGTGCGTGTGTGTAGGCGTGTGTGCGTGTGTGTATAGGCGTGTGTGCGCGTGTGGCTGGGTAGGCGTGCGTGTGTGTGTGTAGGTGTGTGTGTGTGTGCATGTGTGTGTATAGGCGTGTGTGTGTGTCTGGGTAGGCGTGCGTGTGTGTGTGTGCGTCCTGCGTGCAGGTATTTATGGCTGGGAGGGAGAGAGGCAACTGGGTAGAAGACGCAGAGAACTTCACGAAGGATGCAGGTGTTTCGAGTGCTGACGATGTCTCTCATCACTCAGGTAAGACTCAAACAAGTCAAAGGCTCACCATAATACATGGGGGGATTTTTTTGGGGGAGGGGGGCGGTTAAAACGCGTAAATATATCAATATTGCGTCGTTGAACTCGCCACCACCCGACACAGCCAGCTAGTGAGGGTTGTCACGTAAACAGAACGCGGCCAAATCGTCACTGGTACAGCGCCACCGGTTGCGTGTTGGAGAGCTAAGCCACAACATTTACAATCCGAATGCAACGAAGTCAAAGCTGCCCCGTATAGCCTCGGAACGGGTGCTCGGGGCAAGTGCTGTTTGCGAGCACCTATTGATTTGAGGTCGGCATGGCGCGCGAGGAGGCTGGGGGTTGGTTGGTGTGTAGCCGTAGCCGTAGCACGTGTCAGTGGTTGACAGCCGTGCAAGACCTGGGTTCGATCCCAGACTCGGGCGTCTAACGTTCTGTGTGCGTGGAGTGGAGTTTGTATGTTCACTCTCTCCCATATAATGGTTGGATCGCGTAAATAGAAATGTTGTGCCGTTAAACCAGCCACCACCCGACACAGTGAATCAGCAAGGTTTGTCACGTAACAAAAAAACACCGTGCCGATGATTGACTCGTTCAGCACACCGCTGTGATGGAGAGTAAACCCACTACTAACATTCACAATTCTAGTACCGTGACGTTTTCGCCGGTGGCGAGTGGTGGCGGGTTTAAAGACACATTTATATCTTAATTTGAAGCTTTCGTGACTGCAGGAATCCATACTCTTTGGTTCTTTCAGTAAAGTCACGTGGGTAGACAATAATAATAGATCACGAACGTTTCGATCGCAACGCAAGCGATCGTCATCCACCTGCTTGCGTTGCGATCGAAACGTCGTGATCAAATATTGTTTTCTACCCACGTGACTTTACCGAAATAACCAAAGGGTTCGGACACATTAATAGCACCGGTCAACACACTTTTTCTGGCATAAGGTATTCCAACGGGTTTAATGTAATTTTGGGGTGCTGATTCCAAATCTGGCATCGGTTTTTGTCTATCACATCAGGTTTTTGAGATATCAAATATTGCATTTTCAATAAAAACTGCAGAACTAAAAATATTCATTAAATGTGGATATCTACATAAAATGATATTATAAACACACTATCCTAAAAATACAGCACCATATTTCAACACTAAAGCAGTCACTGACTCGCAACAACTTGCAATTATAAGTGACGGAGTTATTTAGGGTAAAATCAATGAAATGGGGTATGCCGATAGCATAAAAATGAGATGTGATAGAGCAAACCTGAGATCAGATTTGGAATCGGCACCCTGAAATTAGTCTAAAACAGCTGCAAAAGTCCAGGCCAGAAAAAAATGTTTTGTTGTTGTTGTTGACCAGTGTAGTTTAGAGGAGCGAACATTACGGTCGTTCTGTTCGCTCCTCCCGCAGCTAAAGCAACACTCACGGCGTGCAAAGTCATTTGGGCGTTGGCGAAACATCCTTCTGAAAATTTAAATCAGATTTTTTTTTCTTAAATAAAAAAAAGATTTTAACTCCCGCGTGCCGATGTTCAACAACGCTGCAACCGGCGCACTGCATTTGTTTTGTTTTTTAAAGGCCGAGTTGATCTAGATGGAGGCACGGAATCTGTTTCAGACCTTTGAACTCGCTATTCATATTAAGCCGTGCTCGGGAATCGAACTCGGGGAAATCGTCGGTTAATGGTGCAGGGAGTTGAACCGCCACTCCGGCGCTCTCCATACGCTCTGTGTGTGTATGCAACTAAGCCAAAGATTCCACGTGTATCATGGGATCTCCCTTGTCACTATCAAAATACAAGGCCGTAATTATAATATATATTAAGGGACACACACATCCCCCCAAATTTTCAAATATGGTTAGAATGTCCCCCCTAATATATTTCTATAAAATAGATTTCTGTTTATATGATTGTGGTTATGGCTGTACTTTATTAATCCCTAATCTCTGCCATTACATACAATGAAACAAGAAAAGGTAAAAAATAAAAAAACAGGGCAATGTAATACAATACACTCTTAGACATTATTGTAACAAATTAATAAAAAGTCAATCCTACGTGTTAGTGAATTTTTTAATATTTTAGGCAGGAAATTCGTTTTCAAATTTAGATTTTTTTTCTGGGGGGGGGACCCCTAGACCCCCTGGAAGATTTGGTCCCCCCCAAAGTTGACCCCATGGCTAGTAATTGATTTGACAGCCGCAATGAAGACCGTGACTTTAATTAAATTTGGTTAGGGCAGTAAGAAAAAAATGTGTCGCCGAAATGACATTTCTTTCCACTTGGCAGGTGAGGACGTTCATTTAGCCACACCGACCCAGCCCCCTCGGGGAGGAGGGAGGGGGGTGCTGGGTGGAGAGAGGGGGACGTGGCTTTCACCAATTCTGGGCACATTGAGTGCTTTGTTTAAGTGATGGGAGGAGCCCTCGTCAATACTGTTCAACAATTAGTTTTTTTTTCTTTCTGGGTAGTAAGTGTTATTTAGTAATTGTGTATGCCTCAAAAGTACAGAAAATAGCTATTATTACACACAAACTTTGCTTTTGTGACTAGGACAGTAGAAATTTCGAAATGTACCTATATTCAATGAGAAAACGGGCGAATTTGTGTCATTCCTTCTCATTAAGTCCTGGTCACAAAAGCTTTGTGGGGAATAATAGCTTATTTCTGTACTTTTGAGTGATAAGCCATTTAAAAAAATAACACTTAGTACCCAGGAACAAAAATTGTGTGACATAGTGAATTATCGAACCCAGGGTTTCTTGCGTAACTGTGCTCCTGAGAATGCATGATATAGAGAAAAAAAACATCATCATCATCATCTTTTGATTTAAAGCTATCGTGACTGCAGGGATTCATATTATTGGTTCTTTCGGTAAAGTCACGTAGAAGGGAAACAATAAAATAATAAAAAATTTGAAACGATAAAATTCTCACGACGTTTCGACTGCAACACAAACAATCATATTGTTTCCCTTCTACGTGACTTTACCGAAATAACCAAGAATATCATCATCATCACGATCCACGTTAGGTGTCCACTGGACATTTCGTCATTTTGTTGTTTCCACTTTCCTCTCTGTCTTTCTCGCACCAATCTCTTCTCATGTCGTCGTCAAAACCGTCCGTTTAACATTTGACCTGAGTCTGTTTAACGTTAATAATACATGTGTAGTGACATAAGAGGGGAGGGGCTGCTGGGGGCTCTGGGACTCCAGGCAACCCAGACGCTTAAGCCCCTTGGCGCCACCAACGCGGGGGGCTGTGTGTGCTCTGTGGGATATCTGGGGGTGCACACAACCCCACCCCTCGTTGGGGACGAGGCATAAAAGGGCAGCTCCTTGGCCGATCAGGGCCAGTCGTAGCTCAAGACCCAAGACCCAAGACCAGCCATCTCAGGACCCTGGGAGGCTGTGAGGACCAGTGGTGGGACTCTGGAACTCCCGGCTCGACGTCCTTGTGAGGGCGAGTTCCAGAGCGTAGCCAGAGTAGTGTATCTAGGCTGTGTACCTAGGCTGTGTACCTAGGCTGTAACAGAGTATCAGGACTGTTGGAGTGTTGGATTGTAATAAAGAAGTTACCTCTACAAGTGTCTCCGGAACCCATTACACATGCAAACAAAAAAGATGAAAATTCCAGACAAACAATAATGAATGCGTATAACTTCAATTTGTATAACACCGCTATACATCGGAGACTGAACAGGTGGTGATGCACGGCGTATGTCTTTGGCTGCTATAAATATCCACATGATAAGCCACTTCTTCGTTCAGCTTATCATTTGTGGCCAGGCTGGTAAAAAATAAATGAAAAGTGTAACGTGCATATGTTGAACTTCTTTCGCGCCGTACGCACCAACCCGTGCTATAAACCCCCCAGAATCATCATCCTCGTTACTAACTAACTAACTATTAACAAATTACTTTTATTTTAAAAGGTAAAGCTCACTAAGCCATTCGGTTTATTTCAGAAGCGACATGGCCACAAATGAAAGCACAGCGAAATGGCTTATCATCGTGTGTAAATGTTTAGCAGCCAAAATAATTTAGACCAATGGTTCTTAACTTTAACTGCAGTATTGCACCCACGTTGGTTCTCAAACGTAAAAAAAATGTAAGAATGTTAATAAAAACTGCTCTAGAGGATCTTCTTGGTTCTTTCGGTAAAGTCACGTAGAAGGGAAGTAATAAAATAATAAAAATAAAACATAATAAAATAATTCTCACAACGTTTCGGCCACAACGCAAGCAGCCGTCCTCAGGTGAAGACCAGGTTTGTCGGGGAGACGCTGTGTTGTGGCCGAAACGTCGTGAGAATTATTTTATTATGTTTTATTTTTATTATTTTATTACTTCCCTTCTACGCGACTTTACCGAAAGAACCAAGAAGATGAATCCCTGCAGTCACGAAAGCTTTAAATCGAAATTTAATGCTCTAGAGGAGTTGTACACCCCGAGCTGCCACTGCTATTCAGTGGCCTGAAATCAAATGTTTCGTTCCGAATGACCGCTGCAAAGTATGATCTTGAGTTTTGATTATAGTGTGCTGATCTTAAAGGTGCTTTGAAAAAAATTGATACTCCTACTGATACTCCTGCTGTTATGGAGTGACTCATGCAGCCAGCTATGGCTGCAAAGTTTGGTAGTACATGTTTACGTATATCGTTTATTGTAAAATTAAATCACAGTTTCTATGATCACTGTTACATTGATTTTATAGCTTTATTTTGGTGATTTCGAAAACGTTTTGGTTTAGCCATATTTGTTTGTTGTAGTACAGAGTAAGACTGATAACTTTAATCTAAATTGTTTTATGGATGTTATTGTTTGACTTGCACCCCACTGGGATTTTTGCACACAGCATTAATATACGGTGCTTTATTCTGGAAGATTTTGCTGTTTTTTCCTGGACTTTTTTGTTTGCGTGTAGTCACTTTCAGATGTTTTTTGTTCATGTTTTTGTTTGTTGCGGTTGCACCCGATTCAAGAG